ACGTCAGAAAGACTCATTTTGAACATCTCTGAGGGCTCGAGCACGTCAGAAAGACTCACGTTTCTCTGTCCCACAGCGTTGTGACGGAGGACTGTTACCCGTATCAGCCCCCCCAGCAGACGCCGGCCGAGGTGGGGCGCTGCATGATGCAGAGCCGGTCGGTGGGCCGGGGGAAGAGGCAGGCCACGCAGCGCTGCCCCAACTCCTACAACCACCACAACGACATCTACCAGTCCACCCCCCCGTACAGGCTCTCATCAGACGTGAGTACCCGTCCATCCTGAAAATGCACACAGCTCTCCACACCGGTCAGATATTCACCCCAGCACGAGTTGCACATCCAGTAAATACTTACAGTGGAGGAAATAAGTATTTGACCCCTTGCTGATTTTGCAGGTTTGCCCACTTACAAAGAATGCAACGATCTATAACTTTAATCATATGTACATTCTAACAGTGAAAGGCAGAATCCCAAAGAAAATTCCAGAAAATCACATCATATGAATTTATAAAAATTGATAACCATCGGATGAGGAAAAATAGGTAAACCTGCAAAATCAGCAAGGGGTCAAATACTTATTTCCCCCACTGTATAAATGTGAACTTTCTGTCCTTTTCGTCACTTCCTGACAACAGGGACACAGTGTAGTTGTTGGAAAAACGAGAATGTGAAGGATTCATCTGAATATTTGTCTGTGCAAAAAAGAGCGGAGTGTGCTTTTAAGAAAAAAAAATCTCTTGAATCAGGACTGTGTTGTATTGACTAAGAATTTGTAAAGACTGAAAGTGTCATCGATTATAAGGATTTGTACAGTATGTACCTGCCTTGAACGACAATAATGAGTAAGTAATACCAGCACTTTAGATATTAGGTCCCATAATCGTTATATGCTGTCTTCTACGACTCGGACAGGTATCTGGATTTAGATTTGTTTGCTTTTTTTAATCAAATAATTTAATCTAGTTTCTGCCTGTCATCGATTCGTGCTCAGCCACAATAATGGATTCAGAGAAGGAATGAGAGTTAATGCATAAAACTGAATGAGGAGTGAAACATCCCTCAGTTTAGTTATGGCTCTTTAAAGACCATTTGATTTCAAATGGATACAAGTTAATTTTAAAATCACTGTTCATCTTGATCGGACAAAGTTCGAGGCTCTTTTAAATTAACTTAATCTGACTCTAGAAGCTGTTTCTGCATGTTGGATTGATCTGTGTTCATGTGGCTCTATCCACATCCATCAGAGCTAAATGACAGCCGATGGCTCCCCAAATCAGTACAGCCTGTTGTTTGTGTATCTCGATAGCCTGTGAAGTCAATGAGGAAGGCATTAAGACCAGTAGGTCCGGCCGAACTCAACCTTGTTATCTGACTTTTATTATCCAGGCGGAGTGGGGCAGGGGTGTTTGTTTTCATCCTCTTTATTTTACTGGCATGTTATGATCTGTCTGTCTTGCTCTCTTT